TCTCTCTCTCTCTCTTTCTTTCTCTTTTTTTTCTCTCTCTGTCTGTCTGTGTGTCTGTCTGTGTCTCTCTCTCTCTCTCGCTCCCTTCCCCTCTCTAAGGTTCTGGCTCGATTGAAGTAACCGGCAAGCCATCGCATGTGGCACCAGTTGTAACAGCTGCAAGTCAAGTGGTGGAGCGCTGCACCCGTGTCAGTAATGATGCTCAGGAGGATTGTTGCCGGGGTCGAGATGCAGTAGACAATTTTCTGGACACATCATTCTCAACTGTGTATGTATAGTATATATATATATATATATCTATCTACGAATATATTCACATAAAAATATCCTTATACAGATATCTACACAAACACACACTTGTTTGCTTCTCTCGCCAGGCAGCTGCAAGGCAGCAAAGCCCGCAAAGCCCGCCAGGGGCTGAGACGACGAGCCTAGCGATTCGTTAAACGGGTAGTTCTCTAAATTAGGGCCCCTTTTAGGGTCCTTTTTATAAGGGTGCCGCACTATATTGGTTGCCTAAATGGGGACCCTAATTTAGAGAACTACCTAAACCCAGATCTGCGGGGCGCCATGGCCGCTACCACGGCTCTCAACCGCAAGAAACACAAATCTGCAGCCGGGCGTGTTGCAGAACCCTAAACTCCTAAACCTTGCAATGACCAACCATCTGTCGCAATCGCCCATAAGTCATAAGTCAGAGTCAAAACTGTTAAACTAGCACCGTTATTTCACTAATCCGAATCCCGAACTATTAGGTAACGTAGGTTGTGTATGTAATCAGCCTCGGCGAAGGTCCAGCTCACCAGCGTCCGCTGAGGAGAGAACCTCGTTGCACCCCGGTTCCGAAGACTTGAGGCATAGAGCCTTTAGTGCCTTGAGGGTCTTTTGTTTAGGCCATTTAGTTGAGGGCTTATTTGGCCTTTAAACCTCCAGGGCTTCTAGTCTGGTTAGGGCATGTAGATTTGGGGCCTTTAGGGCGTTTAGAGTTCAGGGACGAGGATGAGGACAGAAAGGGTTTTTGGGATGTAGGCGGGATATCTTAGGGTTCAAGGACCGGGATAAATCCGAACCCGGCCTCTAAGAAAATTCCTTAGATTAAGGACTGTGGGTGTTGGGGTTCAGGGTTCCCTAAACCCTAAACCCTAAACCCTGAACCCTAAACCCTAAACCCTAAACCCCAAGCCCTAAACGTCGCAGGAGCCGGCCTTGACAACACCCACGGCTGGAGCGGGGTATGGGCCGCCGCTTTCCCTGCAGCCGGGACTCCAGCCCTCGAGTTCCGGGACTTCGGGGCTTCCTCTTCGGATCACTACCTTAAGAACCCTAAAATCTACACTTTTTTGTAGGGTCCCTATAAATCCCATATTGGGGTTTATAATAAGAACCTACAAAAAAGTGGTTTTTGGGTTCTTAAGGTATGGCTCAGCTACACGGAAAGAAGAGAAGCTTCGACGCGACACAAGGGCTTTCTCGATGAAAGTGAGCATTGTGATGGCTGCCATTGTCGGGGTTCTTTTCCTTCGAGTCGTCCTTCTTTTGCATGTGCCGCTGTTGTCTTTATGCCTGGCGGCAGTGTCGTGTTATTGTTCGTGTGGTCGGATGTCGGGTGCATGTTCCTTACGGCCTCAACAGGATGATTCTAGATGGCCTGCTTCTAGGTACCCAGTATAGTATGGCACCCTTTTCAACAGGACCCTAAAAGTGACCCTAGTTTAGAAAACTACCCATATGTCCATAGTAATCCCTCCACTCGGAGCCTGAGCTCTGGGTCCAAGCCATCTCCCAAACGTCATGTCCGTGCCAAGAACTGCTGCCTCCGCTCCTGTGTGCGCGGAGCCACCGAGGCGCTTAACTGTTAATCTAGGGGCCTTCATAATTACCTATGCAATTTTGGGGGTTCAACCACCGTCAGATCCCTTGATGAACAGATCTGGATGAGGGTGCCCGGGCTTTGGCAAAGCCTTTCCCTTACCCTCCTAAACCCAAAACCCAAAACCCTAAACCCTAACTGAAATGTTGCCTCCCATTGAACCTCGCTTGTGAGCTTCGATCTCTGCCATGCTAGAGGGAAAAAACTGAAATGTGACAGTGTAAACCCTAACTCAGACCCTAACTGAAACAGAAAAACCCTAACTGAAGCAATCGGATTTGGAAGCCGGAGCGCCCAGCCCTTCGTCCAAGCTCTCTGCGCAGTCACTTTGCCACTTGGGTTACACCCTGATGGAGTTTGGGAAGCTTGTTGTTATTAGTAGTATTGTTACTATTATTACTATTACCATTATTTTTGTTATTATTGTTGTTGTTTTTATTGTTATTCTTATTTGTGTCAGGAGCAAGCCGGCCAAACTGGATGCACAGAGCTCGGCGACTGCCCAGCATGTTCGCAGTGAGACGTGCCTGAGGGATCCTGCAACAGGTTAGCCACAAGTTCACATAAAGGCCTAAAAAAATAACCTGAATAAGGACCTGACCTAAAATTATTCCTTTGGGTTCCTTAGCATGCTTATAGTCAGTTATAATATGATAAGCCCCATAACCCGGACTCCTCCTGACATGAATCGGGAACCTTAAAGATCCCGAAAGTCTATGAGCTCCCTAAAGCTCCTCAATGCTGGCTCAAACCCTGGCATGTCCGAGAGTGAGAGCTGCAACCCTGCTATCACTAGATTCCAGCTGGGTCGCGACGTGGGCTTGGGCTCGTCCTGCACTTCTCGGTCTTTGCTTCTGATTGCTTGAAAGACGCCTTTTCCACCGTCCACTAAGGTCTGGGGCGAAGATCTCTGGAGCTGATCCAGATCCAAATCCTGATAGCGCCAGCGGACGGGGCTGTCAGACAGTCTCAAGCCCGCAGGGATTGACATCCTAAATGCTAAACCCAAAACTCAGAGGAGATGACATGCAGAGGTTCAAGAAAGCTGACAGCCAGCGGGTGTTTCAGAGGCGAAAAACCCTGGCGAATGCCGTGGAATGCACGCCGACAAAATACGGGGACAGGGGGAGGGCTTTTCTGCATCTCGTGGATGGAACATGAGAAGGATCTTGATGAAAAAGGGCCTGCATTGGGCAGTTTGTTCTGGACTGTCTACTAGGCAGAAAATCATGGCCATGTTGGTTCTACAAGGCGGGGTCAAGCCACAGAAAACACACACGCATATATACATGTATATATATATATATATATACATAGATAAATAGATAGATACATACATACATACATACATACATACACAGTTCGTATATATATATATATATATATATATATATATAAATTAAATTTATACATGTATATATCTATACATATATATATATATATATGTACATATATCTATATATATATATATATATGTATATCATCTACGAGTACAGCGACCTTCTCGTGTTCTTGGACGGTTTAGGATGTGTGTAGACACCTTAGGCCAGATTCCCAAGCTGAAGCCCTCGGGTGCGATCAGAATCACAAGCGGCGTCTGGTATAAGAGCTGCACGAGTTTGTAGAAGGCATGGTACTTTCCTGTAGAAATGGGGTATGATGACGATGGAGTATACGCCGGCACGGCAGATACCCGTAAGCCATCGGCCATACAATCCTCAATTTTGCACCCTGAGCCCGAAACCCCTAGCATGTTGACCTCATACCGTAAACCTGAACATGAAGCCTTCAGTGGGATTTGGATTCCGAAATCATCCTTACCCAGTCCACCAATCCGTGGGAGCCTTACATTGCCATGACCCCTCCCTGTGCGAGCGTGAGAGCGGAAAAAAGCAGCAATTCCGAACTCCTAAAAACTCCTTAGTGCGAGGAGTCCTAAGCCCAAACCCCCCAAAGCCACACCTGAACCCTAGGCTAAGAACCACAAAGCCAGACTAGTCTTAAATAGAGGTGCAAGATTTCGGGTTTGGGGTTCGGTTAAGCGATTCCTGAACCGAGCACCCCACAAGCAGGTTAAAAATGGATCACTTCCTTTGCTGAAGTCCGCACCGCAACTCTCTGGACCAAGCTAGATGCGGGGTTTCGAGGGAGAGCAAGCATCGGGCCAGAGCATCGGGTTTAGGGTTTAGGGTTTAGGGTTTAGGGTTCGACCAGAGCATCAACCAAGGGAAAGATTTAGACAGCGAGGCTCCTGCTGCTGTACCCAAGAGGTTTAGGGTTTAGTGTTTTAGGGTTTCTGCTGTGCCCAAGAGCTGCACACCAACCCGAGCTGAAGATCAAGGCTGGAGGGAGCCCAAGAGCAATTTAACAGCATGCTTCGACATTTTATACCATAACTTATTGATCATATTTAGTCAGAAAATTCAACGCATATTTGTAAGCGATTGAAAATTTGATCGACAACACTGGAAGCACCCCCCCCATTGTACTCTGCATTCTCCTTCCTACGTCTGCGGAGCCAGCGGCGCCGGCCCCTGAGGCCCGGAACTCGCCCAAAACGGTTTGCGGTTGAGGACGTAGAGTTTGTAGAGGGTCCTCGCTAAACCACGCGCTGCTCGGTGGGAACAGGCGGAAAGGATGCCTAAAAGTGAAAGGCATAAGTACAGCTGGTTTTGACGCTAGCCTGTGAGAGATAGGGGGACCGGGCGGCTGCACCCGAAGGAGTCCTTCGGCGTGGGTTGGAGTCGGGAATCCGGAGAAACTGCAAAGCTGTTTGCCTTGCGCCGTAGATGTTGAAGACATCGGAAAGCCAAGCGTCGTCAGGTGAGGCCCGAAACCTGACTATCAAGGTCTTGAATACAATGTAAGGCAGATTCCAGAACTTGAGCTGAGAGCTTTGGGGCCCCTGCCAGAACCCCACTCCACCGCAGCACCTTGAACATCTCACAAGCCTAGGGCATAGGCTTCATCTCCACCTGAGGAGTAGGAACGCGGCACAACGAAGTCAAGAGGAAATAGTATAGGGCTTTAGAGTGCAAGGCTTCGGGTTCAGAGTATAGAGGGTTAAGAGCAGCTTCGGACCCGGAAGCGGAAGCCCTCAAAGCGCTGAAGCATCATTCCTGGCCCAAAGGGGCAGCCCAATGAGCACGCAGACGCTGGGTTCCGCTCTTGGCAGCCGTGCGTTGAGGGCTCGTAGAGTCCCGGGTTTAAAGGTTTCCGTGCCTAGTTCCTCTTCTACATGTAACATCAGAGCCCGGCACAGCAGTAGAGCCCAGAGCCCTGGTTCAACAAAAGGGCTTAGGGTTCTGGCTTCGTTTGGTCGGGGTGTGGGACCCCAGACCTTCGGCATGGTGTTGATTTCAGTGCTTTCAGGGCCTGGGGCCCTGGGTCACCTACGACGGTAGTAGGGTTTAGGGTTCAGAGTTTCGCGGGCTGCGGCCTGCGCTGCTGCTTTGTGTGCAGTTTCGCCCCCCTGCTGCGCCCTCAACTCGAAACCCAAAGCTCCAAAAACTTAACCTCTGCTGACTTGACTTCTCATGCTGTTGGCAAGGCCCACTGCCGCCACCGGCCAATGCCTGCGAGCTTAGCATCTATGTGGTTTCGATGGAAAGTTGCGTCCAAAGATGACCAGAGACCGAAACCAAAGCGCATGATGCCAAGCTTACATCCGGTACCACTGATGGCAAGAAAGAACACGGCTAAGCATCCGAAATCGCCCAAACCCTTCCCCTCTCTGAGAGCATAAGTACACCAACCACCAAAGAACCCGATCAAAGGAGCTCCAAAAACCCGAAACCACTAACCCCATACCCCTAAACTCTAAACTCACACACTGGGACTGCAGGATTGACCCGAAGTCTGGTACTGCGCCCCCAGAGTCTCCCAACCTCAACATCTCAAAGTCAAGGCTTAGGGTTTCGGGGTGTTGGGCGGGCTCAGGGAGCTCTCAGCTACAAATCCTACTCCTTGATCCCAAGACTCACAGGGAGAGAAGAGGGCCTTTGAAAGTGGATTTGGCCAGCAGGGCCTGCTCCAGAAGCCTGGAGAAGAGAAATGCCATCCCCTTACAATCCCTGCTATAAATACAGTATATGGGGGTTTCAGAAAATAGGGGACCCTAATACAGTACACTAAATAGTAGGATCCTTATTATAAGAACCCCAAAATAAGGTACCCCTTGTTTTCAGAAACTCCCATATGATGTACCTTAGTCCTATTGAAAGTATCAAGGCCCCCTTTCTCGGCAACCCCCGCACCGCACTTTGCCGTGTCGCCCAAAAAAGACTTGCACCCTTCACGGGAGCCGCGAGAATCACGAAGAACCAACGCATTCCTGTCTTGCCAGCAGTGCCAGATCCCTTGCGGGATCCGAAATCCTAAACACACACATGTGTCATCAGAAGCCCATGCAAGCCCCTAAACCCTAAACCCTAAACCAATCTTGGCCAATGTGCTATCGTCGTCGTACTTGGAACCTCGCCAGGCATGTCCCAGTTGTGAGTGCTGAAACCACCCTAAACTCTAAACCCTAAACCCTAAACCCTAAACCCAGATGTCATATCGCTCGCAAAGGCCCTGAGCCAAACCTCTGGCAATCTCAAAGCCGATGGCAGGCCAAGGGCTTTTTACCTAATATAGGGGCCTAAAGAATTACCTACATTGTTTTTGGGGTTCCTTATTGTAGCTATAGTTATAAAGGGCCCCCCCTTTATTTTGGGGGTTCTTTATTGCAATTATAGTCTAAAGGGCCCCAATTATTTTAGGGGTTGCTTATTGTAGTTATACTATAAGGGGCGACAAAACCCTATTCCTATTCTAATTATTTAGGCCCCTATGTTAGGCGTTCCTTCGGAGTGCTTTTCCATGTGTCATGTAGTAGAAACCAGAGGTGTGAAACACCATGAATCGTGTTTTGTTTCGGGTCTGATGGGCTTGTAGTCTCAGGACATGCCTGAGGGCAGGGCTTGAATCATACAGTTTTCGGGTTTAGGGCTTTATGGTTTGAGGATGTGGGGGTTGCGGTTCGGTTTCTCTGGAATCTGTGCATGGCTGCTGCGTCAAGTATGGAGACGAGTGTTGCACGGTTTCTATCGGATTTGCAAGGGCACACCCGATACGCTGAAAGTCCACGAACAACTATCTGCAGTCAGCCCCGAGGCGAGAAGGCCTCCCCGTACACCCGGAAGCCTACCCTAAAAGTGCGTAATGATTGTTATCGTGATGATATGAAATACTAAAATTATAGAAAATAACAGAAGATAAAAAGCCAGGCAGGAGCAAAAAGAAGATAAAGCGTGGTCCTTCAACCCTCACAAATGCGCGCTGAGAGCGACTACTCACTTTGTCAAACCCTCAGAGCCACAAGCCGTCCAGATCTTTTTTCACATCGCCTATACCCTAAACCCTAAATCCTAAACCCTGAACCCTCCCTACTGCTTGAAACGCCCTCAAAGCCGCACAAGCTTTGTCAGGGAGCTTTGCAGCCTTCTTTCCTGCCAGGTCCATGTCCTCCTCCCCGGAGAGGTCTTTGGGGCTTTTGGGGCTAGGGCTGGAGCATTGGGCTTGGAGTGTGCGGCTTGATATGAGGCATAGAACAGTGTGGGTTTAGAAATAGGTCTAGAACGCCCAAGTTGGCTTCCGAATTTGCGGCTCAGGTTTTCTGCATGCTAACGGAGAACGCTCCTTCAGATTTTGTCGGGCTTGCGAGCTACATCTTTGGTTGCGAGTTTACGGCTCAGTGTTTAGGCTTCCGCCGTTACGAACACTTCAGGGAAAAAGGTTTGTTTTTGTGGTGCAGGTCTTGGCGGCACTCGATTTCACAGAGCTTTCATGTCTGCCAGCGCATCATGCAAACATATTTGCTGGAATCTCTCGACCCCCAAGCCCTAAACCCTTAACCCTAAAACATAAACCCGCAACCCTAAACCCTCAACCCTTAGCAAACTGATGCTGGGCCCAACACGCGACTCTTGCGACAGGAAAAGTTGGAAGCCGAGGCGGCTTGCTTTTCATTAGGGTCCCTTCCCGTAATTATATACCTTTGTTTGCCCCCAAAGCCTTGCTGAATTTGACAAGGCCGGGATAAAAGAAACCCTTAAAGCAACCCTTATAGAACCTTTTGAAGGCAGGCCCCGACAATATCGCTTTGGCATTTTGGTGGAATTCGATGGTTCTGGTCCTAGACGATTGCCGCGCCTATGGTTCTTTGCCTGGTCGCATGTGGGGAGGTGCATGATTCAAGACTATATACTACACCGAAGCTATACCATATCTGAACAGACATTCAGGCGCCTGATGCAAAAGGCTTCGGTCCATGGAACAGAGACCTTGGAGACCCCAGCATTGGTACTTAATGTAGAAGCTTGAACAGCTACTAATGTCATTCCTTAGGTCCCGAGTTTTGGTTCTACTACAATATTCCACAAAATGGACAGCTGTCATGTGCACACCAGAGCCACCGATTCGGAACGACCTGGCATGTGAACTTGCGACAGCCGTCGTGGCCCTAGAAAATTATGGTGCTCTGTAGCGGGGGAATAAGAGCGGAACCTCCTAAACCCGGCGAGTTCGAGCGTGAGAAGAGCATAAGCCCGCGACAGCGAGCCTTTCAAGAACAAGCGCAGCTGCACCGTAAAGCCTGAATCCGAAAACCCAGCGCGCCAACTCAGATCTTGAAGTGATGGTCCAAATTGGCCAGGGGCGCCAAAGACATCATGCGCTTCACGACGCAGTGCCCTTCTGTGTAAAGCTTTGGGCTCTTGGGGGGCTGGAGTTTGGGGTTGCGGCTTAAGGGTTCCAGATTTTGGGATTTAAGCCCGGTGCCGGGTGCTGGGGGCTGAGAGCCTTCGAGAGGTAGCCTGTATAACTGTATAACACCGGAGCCTGCTGTGACTCCTGTAACTTCTAGGATTCTGGGCTTGTGCTGAGGCCTCCGACAAGAAAATTCTAGGATGGAAAGGCCAGCGAAACACGTTCCTTTCCAGAGGGGGAGGGGTGCATGCCCCAATCGGGGTTTTACCATCGGGCCGTGTTCGAAGTTCATGGATTTGTGGGCTTTGTGGGTGCCGCTGGGTGCAGCAGAGGGTTTGGGGTGTTGCCTTTCTGCGTGGGCCAGGTATCAGTGGCATGCGAAGAAGCAGGCGCTGGGTTTCAGAACCCTGCCCTACACCCCAAATCCCTAACCCTAAACCCTAATAAACCCTTGCCAGGCCTTGTCCGAGTGTGAGTGTCAAAAAACCCTAAGCCCTTAAAGCAAGCTCCCACCCAAACCCCTACCTCTAGAACCCCCCGCCTGCAGGCTTGTCCTTGTGAAGTAGGAGGCAACACAGGATCCCGGAAGCCTTCAACGCCGAAATACCCGAAAACTCCCTCAATCCTAAATCCAAGACCACACCACAAAGCCTAAACCCCTCAATCCAAACCCCTAAACCCTGCACCCCGAACTCTTCCGAACGTCGATTTCTGCGACACTATTGGGTCTTTCAGCTACAGCCTCATGATCTAGACAATGAAGACCCATAATCTTTGGCAGAAGGGCCAAAATATAGAATGATGTAGTACATGAAAAGACCTAAACTATAGCCTATAGCATGTCACTCTGTCTGTCTATCTATTTACCTACCTATCTATCTATCTATCTATCTATTAATCTAATCTAATCTAATCTAATCTAATCTAATCTAATCTAATCTAATCTAATCTAATCTAATCTAATCTAATCTAATCTAATCTAATCTAATCTAATCTAATCTAATCTAGTCTAATCTAGTCTAATCTAATCTAATCTAATCTAATCTAATCTAATCTAATCTAATCTAATCTAATCTAATCTAATCTAATCTAATCTAATCTAATCTAATCTATCTATCTAACTCTATCTTAGATAGATCTATCCAAACATGTG